AGGGGTGTGCCAATGGCCGTCAAGGGCCGGCCACTGAGTCTTTTCTCTTTCCAGCCAGTAGCCAATGGGCGGGCCATGGAATGAGTGGGGATAATGGTCCCTCGGAGCTGTAGGCGCTTCGCTGATTCGGACCGGCGGTTAGATAAATTAGGTAAACGTTGCCGCGCGGTCGTGGGTATTAAGGGACGACAGGTCAGCTATAGGGCAACCGACCACGAGTGCCGGCGGCATCTGAATGGCTCCGGACGGAGTTGTTCCTAGTCGTCCGACCAGAACGCTATAGATAGTCCTCGGACTCTGATTTAGCCGGCTCTGGAAGGGGGGGGGCGAGGGAAGGCTTAAAGACTAGGGCGACCAATGAATAAAGTCTTAAATAAGCGTGTAACAGTGGTTGGTGCAGGCCATTGCTGCTAGGCTTGAGGCCAGAGAGGGGGGGAGATATACCGGGAGGTAGCGCCACCATATGCTTCGCCTGGAAGCGGCCTACCTGTTATATCTGCCGGTGTAGACTTACCCGGCTTTCCGAATCGGCCGGGCCCAATCGCCACCATGCGTAATCGAGGCTTGTATATCATATATTATTGATTCCGCAGGGTAACCAGATTGGCTGGGCCAGGGCATATCTCGAATGTAAAAATAAAAAAAAACATAGAAAGTGTGAACGAAAGGCTTGATGTATCTGATGGATAGTTGTGGTGCCCAGGGGACGGATCAGGCGGCCCAGCCGCTGCCTTGATTTTAGCCAGGTCCTACCATAGCGCCTGCCATATACGCCATATCCGTGAGATATGGAGTCATCGAGTTACCTGTCCAAAAGCGGTCACACAGCCAAGGGTCAAAGTGGCCCACCCTACTTCTCAGTATGGATCGCATGGTTTCATCTGTGCTATGGGGCCGGGTGGAAATGGCTATATATCCCCAGTGGACCCACCGGGCAGTCGATACAGAAGCCAAACCCTAACATGGCGTGGGGTCAAGACTAATAAGCAGTGAGCACCACGCCCCTATTCTCAGCACCCACAGCCGTGCCCATAGCCTACTCTGCCTTGTACATCAACCACCACCACCACCCCTGTTCCCATCGGCAAAGCCGTCCCGCACTCCTCCGCACGCGACACTCCTCAGCCGCCGCCCCCTCCCGTTGCTTTTGTAGGCAACCCTGGTTTCACCCTTCGCCGACCCCCCCTTCTGTTCTTCTCAACTCTCTCCGGGAATCCACGTTCGCCACCGCCCTCACCTTCACTGCCTTTATTGCTGCGAGCCCATTCCTCTCTGCCTTGCCCGTCACACAGCTGCTGTTTAGTATCACCGCCCGCAGACCCCCCACCCTCCCGCGGAGCAGTCACGTCCCATCCGTTCCTCACCCTATCCTCGCGAGACAAGCTCTCCTCCCCACCCACCCCCTCATTCGTTCACCACATCGGTATTCGGCACCATGGTGAGCCTCGGCGATCCAGTCACCCAGGAAGTGGATCATTTTCTCAACGATCGACGCATCCAGGACCTCCTCGACCTTCTGCCTCCGCCGGGCCGCAGGCCAGTGGTAGACGTAGAGGAGACCACGCCTGTCGAGCGAGTCTTCCATACCCTGGCTGACCACGACTACCAGTCCCTCCCGGTCTACCGCCGAACCGCCGACGGAACTAAGGAATACACCGGTATCGTCAGCGTCATGGACCTGCTGGCCCTGCTGGTACTTAACGAGGTAAGCGTGACTAGAGTGCACGGTCGGTCGGCTGACTTAGGGGAGGGGAGGAAGAGTGACTCAAGTCCCCACCCCCCGCTCTCGTGACAGTTGGTGCGCGCGGTAGAGTGCAACTCATCGTAACACCTCTTACCCTGGCCAACCACATCTATGGGGCAGAAAAAGGAAAGAGAGAGGAGGCGTGATATTAAGTACCCTGATGCTCGTGCAATCCCGGACGCGTCACAGCGGGCCACTCAATAGAACCATCCCCGTTTATGTCTTCTTTTTTCACTGCCATGTCGGACGACTTGCGTATCGCTTCGGCTTCTCGCTCTCAAAGCAGGCCGTCGTCTTCGAGCGGTATGTACACAGTCGCTGCCTTTGTTAGTTCATACCCAACCAGGCCCTAACTCCCGCCTATCCTCTATCCCTTCCGCGCCCGTTCCCATTTAAAACCCTTCAGAACGCGCCCCTGCCGGTTAATGGAACCGCGGCGCCAACGCCCTCGAATAGTAGCCCGTCGACCAGCCCAAAGAAGCCACATTGGGAGCACGTGCTGAGTCTCCCGGTCTCCCGAGCCCTCGGCGACCTGGCCCACCAGCCCCACCACTGCCAGGTACTCAAGAGCTCCGATCCCTTGCGCAACCTCATCGGTTACTTTGCCCAGGGCGGCCACTACCGCGCCATTGTACTGGCGGACCCCGCCGACCGGCAGGATGTCGTCCCGGGCTCAGCCGCGGCCCGAGTAGACGATGGCCGGAGCGGAGCTCCGTCGGCGTCACATGAACCCGCCCGCTTCGTGTCGCGCACCGACCTCGTACGCTACCTGTGGCACCACCACGCCCAGTTTCCGGCCTTGATGGACCTCAGCCTTCCCAACTTCGTCAACCGGATCCATGGGGTGGTCTCGCCGCCGGCCAGTCCTACCCGGGGGGCCCGCCACGCCCTCGCCATCCTTCAGGAACGGCAACAGGAACGGCCCACGATGGTTCCCATGACCACCTTGGCCATTGACGCCTTTCACCTCATGCACCAGCGCCAAGTGAGCGCCCTGGCCATCGTCGACAGTTTCGCCGCCGTGCCACATCAGACCCCGGTCGACCCGGACGAACCCACCGGCCCGCTCACTTCGGAACTAGCTGCCACCCACCTTCGTCGTCTGTCCTACCACCAGCTCGGTCTCCTCGACAAACCCGTGGTCGCCTTTCTGCTGGCTACCCAGGATGACGTGCCCACCCCCTTCGTCGTGCGTACCCGCTTCACGTTCAGCCAGTGTCTTGCCGGCCTGCTGCAGACGGCCTCGCGCCGCGCTTGGCTGGTCGATGACATGGACGACCACCCCTTGGCCGTCATCTCTATGGCTGACGTACTCAAGGCCTTTGTGTCGTCGACCTGAGGGGTACTACGTTCGCCTGTAGAGGAGGTGGTCGAGTCTTGGGGAGAGAAGGGGAAAAAGAGAGAGTGTGTGAAAGAGGTTATCAGGCGACTCCTTGGAGGGGTAAACAGCGGGCCACACTGTGACGTTGATAGGGTCCATGATCTCGAGCCCTTCATGAGTTACCTGTATTATTAAATTGCTGGCGCGACTGATTCCAGGGTGTCGATATGGCCTTCCGTTTGCGACAACCTCGTTTATTTCTTTTGTTTTGAAAATCAGGCAAAACCGCAGGAGAAGGGGAGGGGCGGAGGATAGTAATAACAACTGGTCAACAAGTTGGACCTCTAATACCATGCCGTAGAATGGGGAGAGGGCGGTCTTACTTGCGCTTGTTGAGAAATTCGGTAAAGTCTGCAGGCATCTCGAACGACCGGCACTTGTCGTTGAAAACCCGTAGGCTGCGAGACCGCACAATATCCTCCACGGTGAACTCGTTGAAAATCCAGCGTCGCTGGGTTGAATATACATGGTGTTCAGAAGAGGGGATGGGGCAAATATATATATATATATATGCGGAGATTAGTGATGGTAACGTCATGCGTCGTGGTTTGTAAATTTGTAAAAGCCCTGTCACGCACGGCCCGGGCCCACCGTTTCCGTCCTCCCCCCTCCCTCTAATAAACGCTATACAGGACGTCCAACCATTCCCTCCCCTCCCCTACCGCTTACCTTGGTCTCCTCGAAAAAAAGCTTGTTCTTGAGATCGTTATCACCTGGGTTTTTGGCTAGGGCATCGTTCTGTTTATCCAGTCCGCGGTCGAGAACCTAAATGTGAGTTGGAACGGGATTACAATCATTGACCGACTGGCGTTAGATACGCTTACTGATACACATGCCAATCAACCCGCCGTAAGGTTTCCTACGTTATAGTACAGTGGAAGAGCATCCTCCCTCCTCTCTGTTAATCACCTCTAGACAGTAATTCACAGCCTGCTCCCGTTGGACATAGGCCTTGGACAGGTGGTGGAAAAACTCGGCGCACGCGGCGTTGGAGTGCGTGTCTGTCTTGTTCATCCGGAGCATGATGTTATCGTCAATTTTACGCAGTTCCTTCATATACTCTATTCGGGGTAGGGGAGGGAGGGAACCGGCAAGGGCATCAGGGAAAGGAGGGTTACATTTTTTTCTTCTTCCTTTTTCTAGTATCCGGTTGCGTGCCATCAACGTAGGTCGGCTTCCCTGTAGCCTGCACAGACAACTGTCCGTGGGGTCAACGTAGACATAAAAAACAACTTCCTGTCGTGTCTGCAGACGCACCTTTAAAGTACGACAGATTCCGACAGGTGGTCTCATTAATCTGCCGGACATTCGGGGTGGATGGCGTTGGGCCTGACATGTCGTTTGGGTTTCTGAGCAAGCCTCGCAAGAATGGTGGAGAGAAAGGTACTAGAGGGTACAAAATAGGAGGTGGAGGGGGGGGGGAAATGTTGAGATAGCGGTTAGCGAGTATGAATGGTGGATGGCTTCAGTAGAGTTAAGACCGGCAAAATTATTATGACAAAACGGCAACAAGCGAACTCGAATAAGCATGGCCTAGTAGGTAGAAGTTTGGTACGGAACGCCAAGGTGCCTCCTAGTGAGCAGTCGAGAACCACCAAAGCCACGAACAATGTGTCCTACTTCCCTACGTAATGCTCCAGGCGTTGGGCGAGAAACGGCCTACGTGGCCCCCCCCACCACACTGCCGCAGTAAATCAGCCACATCCCTTAGAAGCTCCCGCTCGTCTAAATAGCCCAATAGAAGCTGAGAAGTTGGTCAATGTGCACCCAGCCTTGAGTCGTATTGTACACGGCAAAGGCCTGGCGGTGCGGAAGCCTGGCGTTAGTAGATGCCGCACCGGTTAAAAAATAAAGAGAGGATATGCAAAAAATGATCTCCGATACGGGGAATCGAACCCCGACCACCACGGTGAAAGCGTGGGATCCTAACCGTTGGACCATATCGGATGAATGAAAATGTCATGGTGTATCAGGTTTTAACGAATATTAAGTGTTATTATGAAGGAATAATCGATAATTTCTTCTTGTTTTTTTATGGAGTGCCAAACTGGTGTCCTTATATAAGAATGGTAGAATTGGTAATCAGAGAATTATACCTTAGTTGTAAAGAGAATAACGTAATGGTTACAGAAGGTATAGTAAGGCGGAGTTAATCATTGAATAATAGGGGTTCGTTGGATCAATGTTAATGGCGTAGATGATATGATATAAAAAAAAGAAAATTTATTAGCCTGTGATAGACTGGCGGACTATAGGTATCCCGCGATTATCATGAGTTGGAGCATCGGGGGGGGGGAGTTGGTGGGCGCCGGTAGAGGCGCCCTCATCACAAATTGTGTTGTGCTTTGTCCTAAATACCCCCGAAATCGATAGGGCTTGAAGGATTAAAAGAAAAGGAAACTGGAAATCAATCGCAAGAAGTAAAAGGTCGAGAAAAAGGTATCCTTTATTCGGAGAGGTTTGACAGACCTCGTTTTTTACTAGGTACCTGACGTCAGTTCGACGTTTGGTATTAATCAAAGATAGTAACCTATTCGTCTGTGAGTTATTCTATCAGAAACAAAAAGATAAACTCGCCCAATGCTACCAAGTGCTTTGGTGAGCGAGCTTCAGGTTACGGGGCACTGATAAAATCGGCTGTGGTGAGCTACTGCTAACCACAACAATTGCGAAGCCGAGCGCAGCTTCTACCTTTGAGGAGTTGAAATAGACCGCACTTATAGCTCCCAATAAGTAAAAGCAAGAACATAGGTAAGGTGACCCCTGGGAGCAGTCCTGAAGAGACTGGGGCCTCAGAAAGCCATCCGCCAATAGTAGCTTAGATTGGTTTAGTACAGCAGTATAAAAGCCGGGCCCAAGTATGCAACACCGGGCCTAGCAGCTTTTTCCCGCTATTCAGATCCCGTAGTGCCATCATTTGCCACTATTCCATAATAAATCTACGATAGCAATATTTCCCTAAAATCATTTATTGTTATACACAGGTAGTGTATACAATCATTTACGGGCTTTATCTTTGTGAATAGTCATCTGCTTACTTTGCATTACAGATTCGGATTCCCTGCATCCGGCTGTACACCTTTGGGCCCTCAACAGCTTGTCAGAGGCCCTTTTGGAAGCTATATCAGACTTTGTAGACTAGTATGCTTTGCAGAGTTTTTGTTTTCATTATATTGCACAACTACTAAATTATAAGCACGATGGTCCTGATGTGGATACTGTGACTGATGCTGCAGATCAGTCATAAAGTAATTGTATTATCTGAGGCCATGGGTGTCACTAAGGGCTCAGTAATTATATGTTATTTGTCCAATTTTTGAGCACCAGTTGTACCATTATATCTTCTTTTAATTTCTCATTGAGCCATTACGTTTATGCCCTTCTTGTCAGGTAAAATTTGTGTGATTGCTCTTGCAGATATACTGCCAATTCGTTCATTAGTACCAATCTTGTCATTGGTTGCGTTTTCTTCAGTAGAGTTTCATTACTCATTTTGCAGTTTTCCCTTCTTTATCCAATGCTGAGTCCCTGCACCATATAATTCTGTATTATACTGTACTATTCAGTATATTTTTATCCATAATACCAATAGATGATTCTGTCACAATGACCTACTTGATCCAACATCCGAGTTTTAGATGATTTTACCAGGTCGACTCCTGCATATTCTTCATCAAGTTGCTACCAGTTGGTGCACTTGCTGCTCTCTTACTCAGGGCTACTGTTGATTTACCCAGGTTTGCAGTTGGCAATCTGAAGATTCATCTGCTGCAGTTTATACTGTATGTGTAGACGGTTGCCCTGAAATCCCCGCACTGTTTTTAGTCACAAAGTAATCCTAAACGTGGACATGTCCTCCATCATCTGGATGAGCAGTAGTTATGGGCCCAACTTGACCATAATCATATTAAAGCTTTTGACGGATTGTCGAATTAGCGGTGTAGTGAAGCCACACACCTGTCTAAATGATATGAGTCAGGCGGAGCTTTATTGAAGACTTAGCTGCCTATGAGTGGTGGAGCCAACAAGGCCAAACGGGGGAAAGTAGAGTGCACGGGACACCGTGGAGATGAACAAAAAGGAAATAAAGGAAAACAGTAGAATATGAGAGAGAGAGGTTCGGGCCTTCCGCCCAACCCCTCTTCCTATGTCCTCTAGGGGTGTTGTAATCTGGTTGCGACTCGGCGGGCTGCCCGACCGGTGAGCCACAATGGTTGGGAGTAAGGGGGTGACCATAGGGGTTAATCCGTTAGGACCTCCCCTCAGGTCCCACTGCCACAGATAATTGCCATGACAACAGAATGGCCAGATACTCTATATACAACCAGCGTTAGCCGCAGCAATCTGAGTCACAGGACACGTCATATCACAGTTAATCCACGAGTAAGTAATATATGGTGCAGTGTAGCAAAGCGTGTCTGTATATAGTACGGCAGGCAAATGTCAATGAATATCGAATCCTTAACTACGGTCGTCAAAATGCTGGTACGAGGCTAGGTATGAGGGTAGAGAGCACAACTCGACATATGCACTGCTGGATAGCTAACCCACCAGGGATGCAGTTGGCAGCTGCGGTGATCAACATACTATGGAGAAGCTAAAACGTAGCACTGACATCACCCCCCCCTATATAGATAGCATTGGGTCTCATTGCTGAAACGGCCAAAGCCAATGTGACCCTCTTATATCTAATGCACCTGAGCCCTGACTCAAAATCCTCATACTCTATATCAAAACTTGACATGGTGATGAGTAACAATCTACCAGACTTCCCCCTATCCATTAGTTGGGATGCTGGTGGTACGTTCAATCGTACCAACAGAGACAGTATAAAGGATTTATTGAGTAGGCAGTGTCATCGTGATACTATGGCCGACCACTACATGCCATTTTTTCCTCTCTCTCGTCATCTTCACTTTGAACCCGTCATTTGGTCCGCCTGTAAATCTTGCTCATGTAATCTAAGAAGATCTGGTGGGGTACTAAAGCCGGGTCAACCGCCTTAATTAGCCCGATGATATCAGTGTGGCTCTGGGACTCATAGTCATGGAACCGCTGTTTAAGTCCAAGGTCCTGGTAGATGGCCTTTACGGCCGCTACGTCCTCGGCGTTGCGTTTGCCGTAGTGCTGGTGCAGTTGGGACTTCTGGTCAGGATTGGCGAGGAGGAGGGCCTGGTTGATGAGCCAGGAACACTTGTTATCTTCGATATCAGTCCCGATCTTACCGATCATCTCGGGGGTACCGTAGCAGTCTAGAAAGTCATCCTGGATCTGGAAGTACTCGCCCAGCGGTAGCAGGATGGCCTCGGCCTGCTGAAACGCCTTCGGATCCTGGATACCGGCCAGCATGAGGGCCATGGCGACCGGAAGCACGAACGAATAGTAAGCGGTCTTGAACCGCACAATGTACCGGTACTTGTCCATGGAGAACCGGTTGAGATCCACATCGTCCTCGGGGGCGGTGATGAGGTCTAGGTTTTGACCCAGCTCGGTCTTGAACGTCACGTCCTGGACCAGTTCGACCAGGTCAATGTAGAACGCATCGGCACGGAAGTACTTCTTGAGGATACGGTAGATGAACATCTCGATAATGAAGGCGTCATTGATGGCGATCATACCGACCTCCGGCCGACGGTACCAACAGGGCTGGCCCCGGCGGGTAATAGACGCGTCCATGATATCGTCCGAGATGAGGAAGAAGGCCTGGAGGAGCTCAATGCACCAACCCAGGATGGTGGCCCGCTCACGGTCGGCGGTGGTCAATTCGGTCCCAGCCCGGAATCGAAGCACGGCCAGGGCGTCAACCACCGAGAGACCGCGGTTCATTTTACCGCCCTGGACATTGAGTTCTAGCACCCGTTTGATCCAGGCCTTGCTCTCAGGTAGGGCCTCGAGTTCATCCAAGTCGCGAAGCAGGTCGGCCACGAGTCGGGGGAAGAAGTCAATGAATTGTTGCTTACTGGTAGCCATGGCGTAAAACGAGGGAGGGGGAGTTGCAAGCAAAGGGCAGGAGGGGGACGAGGATAATGGAAGGCAGTTAACAGTCAAGTAGAGCAGAAGATGCGCGTAGTAAGGATAGAGGCAAGCTTAAGTCTTTGCCCAGGCCGACAGAGGTCTATATAGTGAACCACTCGGCTCGGCCGGCTTACCCCTGAACTCACCGCTGAAAGACCGACCATTTCTTGTCCAACCATCCCAATGAACGATAAGGTCGCATCTGAAAAATAATTATCGTACGATACGCCGCCCGGCCCTTCCGTGGGAAGTGGTACTGTAACAGTATAGGGTTCACACCACATGGGGTCACTCCTCCACTGCATCTAATTCAGTGGTATCGACATGGGTAAGGGAATGCATTTGTATTGTCAATGCTGGCTATCCCGGAAAGATCGGAACGTTTGACCCCTCTCAACCGTGCCTGCATTAACATTCGAAAGCGTCGGTTTACTCACTCGGGAAACAAGGTTAGGTGGTATATGGGGTTATCCTCAGTAACCGTATACTACTTGCCCCCTTGGGCTGCTCAGGTATATCAGAGGTACCTTGATACTAGGGTTCTCCGGAGTGAAGGGCAGCGTTAATTGTGGCAGGAGCTGAATAATGAGTGAAGACTCAGCTTTCCGCTTGCTAGGTAGATGTATTCCTACAAAGCACGGGTGAAACGTACGTAACTGAAGCATCCATATCATACCCATAAAGGAAGTGGACACAGCGAATCTTGACGGAAGTCGTTTTAAAAACACTCCTCAAAAATGAATGCCTTCTACCAGAATCGAACTGATGACCTTGTGCTTACTAGGCACACGCTCTGCCAACTGAGCCAAG